CATTAAAGGAATTGAATACACTTCTCAAGAGTGATAGATTTCCTCGCGCGCCGGTTCTGATAAGGCGACAAAATTCTACCTCTGGTTCTGGCTCTAGCTCAGGGTCTGGATCAGGTGACTCAGATTCAGATAGCGGCAGTTCAAGTCGCGTCATCTCAATTCCTGGGCTTGATGGTCTTGGTGACCTCGGTGATGGCCTCAAGGGATTGACAGACGCACTTGGCGAGTTGGGAGATCTCCTCAAAGCCCTCAAAGGTCTCCTGACAGCCGAGTTCCTTGACGCATTCCATGATGCTATGGTCTATCTCGCAGCAACATTGAAGCCTCCCGCGCCCAACCAGATCAGAAGTCTGCTTGACAAAGCAGGTCCTTTGCTGGATCTCGTTGGTGAACTCGACCTCAAGGGCCTTATCGACCAGCTTAAGGATGTCGATATCGCTGGTATCGTCTCCAAGGTTCTCAAGCTTCTCACCGACGACAACCTCAAGAACATCGACGGTCTTCTCACCAATGGCGCTGGCCTCTTAACACCAGACTTCGTCAAGCAGACCAAGGGCCTCATTGGCGACGTCTCGCCTCTTCTCGACGAGCTTGCTCCTCTTCTCAAGAAACTCACCGGCCTTGATCTCGAGGGCATTCTATCAGCCTTGGACCCACTTCTCAAGAAGGAGTCTATCCAGGGCATTGTCACTCTACTCAAGAACGCCGGCGATCTTCTCACCGCTAAGACCGTCGATGAGATCCAGGGTCTTCTTGGTGAAGTCTCCCCCATCATCAAGGATATCGCCCCACTTCTCGAGGAACTCACCAAGCTCAACCTTGAAGAAGTCATCAAAGCGCTGCAGCCGCTTCTCACTGGCGATTCTATCAAGGGTATCTTGAGCTTGCTGAAGAACGCCGAGACTCTCTTGACACCCAAGTTTGTGGACCAGACGCAAGACCTCATCGGTGCCGCGTCTCCGCTGATCGACAAGTTGAACGATGTCGATCTCAAGGGTGTTCTTGATGCCTTGAGCCCCATCCTCAAGAAGGAGGCCATCCAAGGACTTGTCGGACTGCTTAACAACGCAGAGGACTTGTTGACCAAGGATACCGTCAAGAGCATCAAGACTCTTCTCACCGAGGCATCTCCCTTGATTGAGAAGCTTTCCGACATTGACCTCAAGGGCGTTCTGGACGCGTTGAGCCCCATCCTGAAGAAGGAAGCTATCCAGGGTCTCGTCGGCCTCTTGAACAACGCTGAGGACCTTCTGTCCAAGGACACTGTAAAGAGTATCAAGACTCTGTTGTCGCAGGCATCGCCATTGATCGACAAGCTCTCTGACATCGATCTCAAGGGCGTCCTTGATGCCCTCAGCCCGATCCTAAAGAAGGAGGCTATTCAGGGCTTGGTTGGACTATTGAACAATGCGGAAGATCTGCTATCGAAGGACACTGTGAAGAGCATCAAGACATTACTGTCTCAAGCCTCTCCTCTGATCGACAAGCTTGCCGATATCGATCTGAAGGGCCTGCTCGATGCTCTCAGCCCCATCTTGAAGAAGGAGGCCATCCAGAACCTTGTTGGACTGCTCAACAACGCCGAGGATCTACTTTCGAAGGAGACCGTCAAGAGCATCAAGACCCTGTTGTCTAGCGCCTCGCCTCTCATCGACAAGCTGTCTGATCTCGACTTGAAGGGCATTCTCGATGCACTTGGTCCCATTCTCAAGAAGGATGCCATCGAAGGTCTCGTTGGTCTTTTGAACAACGCCGAAGACCTGCTCGACAAGGAGACTGTGAAGAACATCAAGTCTCTGCTTACCAGCGCCGGTCCTCTCATCAACGAATTGAAGAAAATCGATCTCGCTGGTGTTCTCAATGCACTTGCACCTATCCTCACCAAGGATTCCATCAAGGGTATCGTTGGATTGTTGGGCAACGCCGAGAGTCTCTTGACCAAGGATTTCGTATCCGACACCAAGAACCTCATCTCCAACGCCAGCCCGCTCTTGGTCAGCCTCGGCAAGATTGATCTCAAGGGTCTTCTTGATGCGCTTGCACCACTGCTTACCAAGGATTCGATCAAGGGCATTGTCGGTCTCCTGGGTAACGCTGAGAACCTGCTTACCAAGGACTTCGTCTCTCAGACCAAGAGTCTGATCTCCAAGGCTTCGCCTCTTCTGGACAGCTTGGATGATGCTGATCTCAAGGGTCTGCTTGATCAGGTCGGTCCTCTTCTCAAGGAGGTTGGCAAGCTCAAGCTTCAAGACATCATCAGTGCCGTCGCACCTCTCCTCACCAAGGACTCCATCAACGGCATCATTGGACTCCTCGACAATGCCGAGGACCTCCTTACCAAGCAGTTTGTCTCTCAGACCAAGTCTCTCATCGGAAAGGCTTCCCCTCTTCTCGACAGCCTTGACAAGGCGGATCTTGCTGGCTTGCTCGATCAAGTCGGCCCGCTCCTCAAGGAAGTGGGCAAGCTTAAGCTTCAGGACATCTTAAGCGCAGTCCAGCCACTGCTTACCAAGGACTCCATCAACGGTATCGTCGGTCTCCTGGGTAACGCTGAGAACCTCCTCACCAAGGACTTCGTTTCTCAGACCAAGTCTCTCATCTCAAAGGCTGGGCCATTGATCACTAGCGTGTCCAAGCTCAACCTTGAGGATCTGCTCGATCAGGTTGAACCACTTCTGAAGACGCTCGGCAAGCTTGATCTCGAGGGCATCCTCAGCTCTCTTGCGCCTCTACTCACCAAGGACTCAATCAAGGGTATCGTGCGCCTCGTTGACAACGCCGAGAATCTGTTGACATCTAAATTCGTCAATGAGACTCAGACGCTTATCTCTGGCGCTGTTCCCTTGATCTCCTCACTGGATGACGCTGATCTACCTGAGTTGCTGGACCAAGTTGGCCCTCTGCTGAAGGAGATTGGAAAGATCGATCTTGTCAAGCTCGTCAAGAAGCTGTCACCTCTTCTTGATGAGATCAGCGATTTGGACATCAAGGGTATCTTCGACGCACTGGCGCCGCTACTCTCGACCAAGGGAGTCAAGGGCATCATGGATCTTCTTGGCAACGCTGAGGACCTTCTCACACCTAAGTTTGTCAATCAAACCCAGACTCTCATTGGTGAAGCCGTACCTCTTGTCGAGGCGCTTGGTGATATCGATCTAAAGAAGCTCATCAAACAGCTCCAGCCTCTTCTCGAGGCCCTCGGTGAGCTCGACTTGGGAGATCTCATCAAGAAGGTCAAGCCACTTCTCAATGCTCTCATGAAGATCGATCTCGTCAAGCTGGTTAATAAGCTTCTGCCACTACTGGATACTCTGGACGACATTGACCTCAACGGCTTGCTCAAGGCAATTGAGCCTCTTCTCACACCGAAGAGCATCAAGGGTATCGTTGGTCTTGTTGACAACGCGGAGGATCTCCTCACAGCTAAGTTCGTCAACCAGACACAGACCCTCATTTCGGGCGCAGTGCCATTGATTGAGGTCTTGAACAAGCTCGACCTTGAGGAGCTCTTTGAGATCATTGAGCCTCTGCTCAAGGAACTGGACGGTCTTGATCTCACTGGTCTTGTCGACGCTGCCAAACCTCTGCTCAAGGCCCTGAAGAAGATTGACGTCCAGGGTATCGTCGATGCAGTGGTGCCATTCCTTAACCCCAAGACCATCAAGGGTCTTCTCGGCTTGGTTGGAAATGCTGAGGATCTACTCACCAAGAACTTCGTGAACCAAGTATCGGAACTCATTGGAGACGCGACACCTGTAAGTCAAACCTTACGATTCTATTACTAAACTATGCTAACTTCTGTCTCTAGCTTGTTGCGACGGTAGGAGACTTGGTACATGCAGTACTCAAGGAGCTAGTGGGACGGTCTTAATGTGATAATTGGGTTATGAACGTGGTTACGTGATGGGATGTTTTAATCATGTATTGATGAGTTTGGATATTTGACGCACACGATACCCTATGAATGCGCCTCTACGGTGCCATAATGAAACTGTCTTTATCCGTATCTAAGAGCGCTGTCAAGTGAAAATGCTTCCAAGATGTCACTATAGTCGTCCTGACATAAGACAGAGGGCGGATGATTTGCGCATGGCAGCGTAGTACCCGTCGGCATACGCCGCACTACAACATCAATTCATCTTGCCCGTTTAGATCTCGTTCCTTTGGAGTATTCGCGATGCCAGCATCATTGAGCGAAAATAACACGCGCCATTTCCGATAAGGTCGTGACATACATTCGCGTAGGTGATATTCTGGGCACGCCTGTATCAGCGCAACAAGGTGTCATTTTGTCTCGGTATGTCTCGGTGAGACTCCGCTACCTCCTTGCTTCGTTGCGGGTGACAAGGCCTGCATAATAGCATGGGGGGTATGGTCTGTCTGTAACCTGACTAGACGTGGGAGCCTGGTTCGCCGGTAACTTACTCGCAACCCTGTCCAGAACCGTTTGCTCCAGGTCTTCGCTTCAATTCAAGCCCCCGAGCTAAGTTCAACCGAAAGCCGAGAGAGATGCTTTGCATGTGTCAAGATTCTGGGGAAGACCTGGGTAGCTGAAGCTATGGGAACTATCGCAAACTAGACTCATTGGGGATTTGACAAACCTGCTCGATGCACACACTTTACTCTGCAGAGAAAGTGAGGGGAAGTGATCATGTGCCGGATCGTCTGCCCATCACTTATCAGATTCGAGTCAGGTTCGTATTCACACCCTGGCCCCCTCGGTCTCTTAGTGCTATACCCCGCTTGCCGATCAGAATTTCCAAGACGGCACCAACTGGGATGGGCCTGGTTAGTGCATTCGATAGTTTGACGTACCCTGGTATAACTTTAGAGGCCCGTCTTTCGCGCTTGGTCGACCAAATTCAGGGCAGGTCTTGGCCTAAGACCCTCGCTGTTCTGCCTTAAGTCTGAGTCGTCTGTGGAGCATCCCATTCTTCCTCTGAGGCATTGGTGACCATTGCAATTGTTTGCTGTCAATTGTATTGTCTCAGTCGATTACAATGGCTTCTGAGAGAGAACCTACAGCGGCGGGCGCTGATACTTCTGCGCCTGCTGAGACGACAAATGCTGCTGGTGAACAGAACGCGCCCGCTGCTGATGCTGCCAGCAACGACGCCTCTTCCGACGACCATGTTCGCGATGAGAAGGTCGCTGCAGGCCCAACCAAATGGCAAAAAGTGAAGGGCCATTTCTGGCGATACAAATGGTGGTACCTCTTACTTATCGTTGTTCTTCTCGCCATTTTATTGCCACTACTGTGAGTCTCGTCTCGTCCCGTCAATTGAGTGAGTACCTCTTCTAACAATGCACCAGCTTCACTGTCATTATTCCTGCAATCGTCCAAGACATTCTCAATGACCAGAAACTCCCAATTTACGGCGGCGCTTTACAAGTTATTTCTCCATCCGAAGTTAACATGAGTATCGAGACGCAATTAAAGACGCCAATCGCTGCGACTCTCAAGCCAATGGATCTCTTGCTTTACAGCAAGGAGACGAAGCCCGTGTCCTCATTCTTGAAGCTCAAATTCCCCGAGGTGCACATCAAGAGTCACACTAATGTCACCGTCACCAACCAGACCCTCCTGGTGACAAATGAGACTGAGCTGACAAAGTGGTTCAATGTCTTCTTCGACAAACCCGATGCCGAACTGTCGTTGGAGGGGAAGCCCGAGATTAGGCTTGGCTCCTTGAAGTATCACCGGAGTCTGAAAAAGACTGTCGACATTGCTTCTCTAAACTACCTTGACGGCTTTGCGCTCAAGAGCTTAGACTTTGATCTGAATTCTAACCGCACGACAAAGAGCAACATGAAGGGAATGCTAAATATCCCCAACTCTGGAGTCCTTCGACTTGGTCTCGGCAATCTGACATTCAACGTCATGTCGGGCGACATTAGACTCGGACTCATCAACCTTTGGGACTTGCAGCTCTGGCCTGGCAATAACTCTGTTCCTTTTGACGGAAACTTCTACTTCGACCAGCTGGTACCCAATCTGTCAGAGATCCTCGATATGCAGAAGGGACCTCTTGGCAACGGCTACCTAGAGTTTAATGCAACAGGAAACACCACCATTGCGGGTGGTCAGCACATCAAGTACATCGAAGGAGTCTTGAACAACAAGCATATCAAATTCACCTTCCCGGTGATCACTCTGCTGGGTGATGTCCTTGGTGGCTTGCTGGATGCTAATCAAGGCTCTCTTCTGGATATCTTTGGCACTTCGATCGGAAACTCGACGTTGCTTGAACACGTACTGGGACACTGGGATAATAATACCAGTGAAGGGGGATCTTCTTCTAATAATACTGCAAGGAGCCTGACGGAGAGGAGCAAGACCAGAGCACCAAAGGCTTGGATGTGGAGTCTTCTCAAGTTGGGTCTGACGAGAAGGAGTTTATGAGTATGATAATGTAGTCCTATTATTTAATGTCGTCTGATGCCTTTTGCAAAAACCCGATGTTCTCGCCGTGATTCGTACCATGACAATCCAGGCGTCAAGTCCAGAGTGTAAGTACTCGTACATAGATGCTCAACAAAGCAGCCGATGATGTCGGAGCGTCTGAGCAGCATGATATTTGTTTGCCTCACACATGCTTAACCTTCTTTTTTACCCTACCCTCAGTAGTATCCCGAGGCCCAGCTGCATCACTACTAAGCCTTCGCGGTCGCTGCCTTCTTGGTAACACCACCTTTCACAAAAGCCGCAAGCTCCTCAAGGTATCGCACATTGGCTGTCTCAAGCTGTTTCGATACCCACGAGAGCTTCATCCCATATGCAGCAAGGCCACCCATAAACTCCCAATTCTTGACTTCACACGCATGCGGTCCTTGTGCAGTGACGATCTGTACCCGCTCAATGGTTGCAGCCCACCAGGGTAGGTAATTGCTCTTCCAGGCCAGCTTATATTCTTGCTCTCCATAGTCCAGTGCCAGGATCTGTGTCGTGGTCAGACAGAGTTTGTAGCTGTTTTCATACGTGGAATATTACCTCAATTGGGATATTCATGATGTCTTCGCCGCCAAATGTCACAGTCTCCAAAATCCCGTTGACTCCTGGCTTTACCACTTCTGAATCCTCAGTGCCGATGAAAGTGAGTCTGGGGGTCCAAGTGTTCCACTCGCTGTATGTTCTAAAATCGACCATGGTATTGAATACTTCTTTAGCAGGTGCGTCAATCGCGATAGTGCTTCCGGCGGTGAAGACAACCCGACCGGTACCCAGAGATGGGGTTGCTGTCGGAGTTGTCCACCCAACAGCCTTTAGTGCTTCCATACTCAGAACAAATGCTGGGTCCAATGGCACCAGATATTAAGAAATGTTTGAAGACTTAAATGCCAAAAGAGACAAACAGATTCGGGCCGTTCTCTGTATGCTGAATGTCTCACACGTGATCCCATGATAAACTCCAATAGTATCTCAAGACTAACCGTGTCAAGACATTCGGATGGCTAGCCCGATTTAAACTTTTCTCAGTAGCCTTGTTTCCTCTTTGTCAGTTGAGAGATGTAAAACCTTCAAATCCATGTGACAGTAGTTACAGTAATAAACACTCAACCCGCCGTGACTGGCCAACGAGCAAATTTGGTCAGTATTTTGAGTACAATGGTACTATTTGACGAACTTGAGGTAGATTCAGAAGGGCCTTAGATCAATTGTTTCTGCAGTCTATTCAAAAAGGCAGGAGATTTCTTGCTATCGGAAGATCCGTCAAGCGCCTGCTGGAGACTGTTTGGACTCACGACATTCGATACGTATCATAGGTCTTTTCTATATTGATCTCACACTAATAGACTTCTGCTTGAAAATTGAAAGTATGCCTCGAACCTCTAGCCTTTCCAACAAAGCTTCACCACTCCAAATGTACGTCGTAGAACAGTTATAGACGCTGCGGATGACCCTTCAAGAGTACTCCCTATCACTAAGACATCACTCGTCGTCTCCGTGATCCCTGGGACTGGGGTTTGACGGTGGAGTCTTCTTCAGTGTAATGGTGACCTTATTGTCAGAATGGCCAGCATCCGAAGAATTCCAACCAATGACATAAACACCATCGGTCTCCGATGGCGTGGCATACCAAAGCGAAGTCATTTGTCCATCCTCTTCGACCATGACAAAAGTGCCATAGAACATCAGATCAGTCACATAAGCATCGGTATCGACCGTGCTATTGATCAGTTTGACGCTGTGAGAAGACGACGACGGTCCGGGGACAGCGAAAGTGAGTTTGGACCAGCTCGGCTCACGTCCTTCGGCATAGCCAGTCGTGTTTGGAGAGGCATACCATGCATCATCTCCCACGGTGACTGAGTGGTGTCAATGATATTCGAGTTGGAAAGGTGAGATACTTACACAAAATCGGGGCTGCCTCGGAGTCGTCGATTTTGCTGAAGTTGCCAACAAAGATTTCACCTATTGGTTTCTATAAGCATGTCTCACAGAACAATGAACAAACAACCTACTGCCGGAAGAAAAGATGGGAAGGCCGCCAACGCCAGTTCCATAAGCATAAAGAGAAAAGGGACTGGTATTGCTAGCAGCAGTAGCTACAGTCGCCAGGAGCGACGCTGCAAAAGTGGTGAGGCTAAGATGATGCATTTTTCAGAATACTGTATCGCCAATATGATGGAGATGGATGGGGCAACTAACTACATTATATAATAACAAGCCGCGTTTATAGACCAATACGAGGGTTGTGGCTGTGAACCCACAAGACGGGGCCCCATTGAACACGTAATCGGTATAACGGAGCGTTTATAGATATCTCAAGGTCTTATTGCCGACGAAACGCTGACGCGGAAACGGGGCAGGCCATAGCGCTTCCCGTCCGTGGCATCCTCCGAACGGCCCAGCCCGTCCCCGATGTGACGATAAATATGCCGTTCAGCCAATCCCATTGGTTCTTTGGTGTTTCCTATCTACTCACGAGGTCACTCTATTCCTAAAGTTCTTTTTAAGTCTATGCGGATGGCTCGGAATGTGGGCGGCGGGTGATTGTGAACCTCCGTGATCGTCCCGGCAGTTGTGAAACCGCCGAGTGGCTTCACGAGGCTTCATTTCTGATAGTGACGACGACTTGTCTTAACAGTACGCTTGTAAGGGGTCCGTGATACGAGAAGTTCTTTCGAAAAGTGATAGGTCTAGTTTGCGGTGGGCAGATGAGCTTCCTAAACGGAAAGCTCGAGCGCTGGACTGGAATATTTAAGAGTGAGCTGTATAGGAAGAATAGAAGTGAAAAATAACACAAATCATTCAGACTTCTCTCTTATCTCTACTAAAATCATAATTCTGTCTATTCAAAGCTCCTGGTTGAGATTCAGCTTGTGTCGGCAGAAATGAAGCTCTTGCAATTTCTCCCGGCTGGCATTCTCTGCCTTAGCCAAGTTCACGCTCGAAGCCCCCTTCACCAGCTGGTGCGCCGCGCCACTTGTAGTGACAACACTGCTTCTACTCGCTCAGAGTGGTGCGACTACTCCATTGACACGGACTACACCACTGAAGCTGTAGATACCGGCGTCACTCGCGAGTACTGGCTAGAGCTTACGGACGTTACTGTTGCCCCTGATGGCTACTCTCGTTCGGCCATGGCTGTCAATGGTACCATTCCTGGACCTACTCTGTTCGCTGACTGGGGAGACACTGTTGTCATCCATGTCACAAACTCTCTCAGTACTTCTCTGAATGGTACCAGCATGCACTGGCATGGTATTCGCCAGAACTACACCAACCAGAATGATGGTGTCTCCTCTATCACTCAATGCCCCCTTGCCGTTGGGGAGTCAGTGACTTATACCTGGAAGGCCACCCAGTATGGCTCGACTTGGTATCACTCTCACTGGGCTCTGCAAGCTTGGCAAGGAATCTTCGGCGGTATCATCGTCAACGGACCCGCCACGGCAGACTACGATGAGGACCTTGGCATGGTTTTTCTCAATGACTGGGACCATCAGACCGTTGATGAATTGTATAGTTCAGCTGAGACCAATGGACCTCCCACGTTGGACAATGGTCTCATCAACGGTACAAACGTCTACGGGGATGACGATAGCTCTTCCCAAACAGGCACTCGTTTCAATGTCTCTTTTGAGTCTGGCACTTCTTACCGTATGAGACTTGTCAATGCAGCAATTGATACTCACTGGAAGTTCTCGATTGACAACCATACCTTGACCGTGATCGCGGCAGACCTTGTACCGATCACGCCATACGAAACCACAGTTCTGGACTTGGGCATGGGTTAGAGTGTTCTATCTTGTTCCCTTTTCAAGGCAACTAACCTTTGTAGGCCAACGCTACGATATCATAGTCACTGCAGATCAAGCTGACGTCGCCGACAACTTCTGGATGCGCGCAATTCCACAAGCCGCTTGCTCCGATAACGACTCCACCGATAACATCAAGGGCATCGTCTACTATGGAGACAGCCCCGGTACGCCATCCACTACTGCCTACGACTACACCGACAGCTGCGATGACGAGACGGATAACATTGTACCATACATATCCAAGACAGTTGAAGATGCCAACTGGAATGATCTTGAAACGGCTACAGTTGGCAAGAACTCAGCTGGTTTGTTCAAATGGATGCTCAACAGCACCACTATGTTGGTGGACTGGGCAGACCCTACACTGGCCCAGGTTCTCAATGGTACGACTGATTTTGAAACCGATGATGCGGTCATTGAACTCAGTGAGGGCAACCAATGGGTCTACTTTGTGATTGAGACGACTCTACCAGTGCCCCATCCCATTCATCTCCACGGGCATGACTTCGCCATCTTGGCCCAAGGGACGGGTACTTATTCTTCCTCCATCACTCTGAACACAGATAACCCTCCTCGACGAGACACGGCTATGCTGCCTGCCAACGGGTATCTGGTCATGGCTTGGGAGACCGACAACCCTGGCGTTTGGCTATGCCACTGTCATATTGGTAAGTCAATGAGGTCCCAGATCTGAGCATTGCTGACTTTGTGAAACACTAGGCTGGCATACGTCTGAGGGATTTGCGTTGCAGTTCCTCGAGCGTTCAAGCGAGATTGCTAACATCTCTACATCGAGCTATGTTTCGGATGTTTGCGATGGCTGGAGTACTTTCCAGAGTGAGTCGTCGATTGGGCAGGACGACTCTGGCGTTTAATGCTACAATCCTCTTTATTGTGTAGGAACTATTTGCTGTCGACTGAAACTGGGGGCATAATCTTCTCTTGATCTGTGGCTACATATGTATTTTTCTTACTGGTGGACGTGGCCAGCTGTGATCACTATAGCAAACGATCCATTCCAGCCTCATCCACCTTCAACACCGTCCAATTCTCCATTCGCTTAGCTCCAAGTTTCTCGTAAAATCTCAGTGCTCTCGCATTATCCTTCAGGCAGAGCCACTCCATCTTTACGCAACCCGCTTTCTTAGCTGCTGATGTCATAGCTTCGACCAACTTCCGGGCGTATCCGTGAGGTCTGTATTCCGGAACAACGTAAATCTCCTCCATGCAGACTCCGGGAGCAGCTCCCCATGTTGTATAGTTGAAGAAGTAGATCAATAGTCCAGCAGGCTTCCCCTCTGGTGAAAAGGCTAAGATGGGATGTCCGATACGATACTCGGGAGAGTCGGTAACGTCTGACAAGTGGAGAGTCTTTGCGAGACCCTCTTCAGTTGCAGTGACAACGGTTCCTGGTGCTTGCTCTTTTGCGCCAGCACGGATTAAACTCAAGATAGTTGGAACATCTACGTGGATAATTAGTAGATGGACCGGACCAGTAGTCGCCTTTACAATTAAGTACCTCGAGAAGATGCAGGTCGAATTTCCGGTGAGGAAACCATCTCGATAACGAATCTTCAATGTGCAATTCCTTAAAGAAGTAATTATAAAGAATTAATCTTCAAATCACTAGACTTTTTAAGGGTCCAATCTTATTTATACTAATCCATCATCCTGTAGCTCTGCGCCCTATTCATGACAGGTGGAGTTGGCGCAGGTTTGCTTGCGGGGTTCAATGACTCAGCTTGTCAACCTGAATGACTCTTTCGATCCCTTTTCCAGCCGAAGGATCAAATAAATACATATAATCCACTAAATAACATATTATTCTAGTGACGCTCTCGAAGACACCTATGAAGATAGGCCAGAATAACAGTTAAGAGATAATAGACCGATATCGGCCAGAATTTACTGAAGGGACATTGCGACCCGACGACAGCCCGGAAAGGGTGTGCTCTTCGGTCAAAGGTAATCGAACGACAATTTATCATAGATCTGATTTGAAGGGCTAGCAAAATTCAACTACAAAAACCGAATTAAAATGATAATGGGAACGCTTTACCGCGAACTGCTCTGGGTGCAGTAAATACTTTGGCAAACTAATAAGTTAGAGAATAAGCTTTCGTTGAGGCAATTTTCGTCTAGAAGTCCCATAAAGTTTCTCTAAACCATCTGTGCAACATTACCCAGGACAACTGATGAAATGTAAAACGCCATTTCACATACACTTTCAGGGTCCTGGGATGAGACATTCTCATTCTATTCGTCTGAGGAACTAGGCACTGGGCAGTAAACTTTCCCTCGGCAAGTCGTATTTCCAGTTCTCTGGGTTGACCGTTTTTGTCTTTTGTGTGTTTTACTGGGATACTTCATAGTCGAAAGCTTAAAACTTTGTTAGCCAGTGATATGGTCATGCTTGTCTCAGAAAGCTTTCTGTCTGAGTCTCGACCATTCGTCTGCTCAGTGACTACCTTTGGTCTTATCAATTTGACTTCTCTAAACCCGGGTTACGCCCAATACAACCAATCATCACTATTAGCATGTTCCGGAAATATCCTGTCATAATTTGACGACATTCCATAACTACAAACCCCTGTTAGGCCAATTTCCCTCGGCTCATATCTCCAGCTATAATTTCTTCTCCATTATCGAAATCCCTCACTTTTCTTTCGTCCCTCACGTTGCTGAAACGGAGGGACGGGCCAGCACCTGGAGCAACGGATTTGAACATCTGATCGATGTAAAGGGTACTGGCTACCTACCAGCTCATCTGGTCATGATGGACTCGACTACACCTCTGCTGTCCCCCAATCGAGTGTCACCGTCCTACAGCCACTTAACCGAATTTCCTCCTCTGGTTCTCAGAAATGGCCAGAGTCGAAGAGGGACAAAGAGGAGCTTGCGAACCAAGATACAAATTCCCTTACTGTGCTACGCGCGTTTTATGGTGATGGTGGCATATTTCTCCATCTTTCCATACGTAGCTCCGATGGTACGGCACAATAGTACATCACGGTCTACTGATATCGGTATCTACGTAGGCTTCTTTGAAATACTCTTCCTGGCTGCGCAGGCCTTGACATCGATATTCTGGGTCGCCATGGCAAACCGGTTCGGTGACAAGACGATACTCATCTACGTTCTTCTTGGCACAACTATCAGCTCGGCCATCTTGGGATTTTCTTCGTCACTCTGGCAAATGGCACTCTGCCGATGCTTCCTGGGAATACTGTCGGGGGGTGACGTCGTCATCCGCGTTATGATCGGGAAACTGTGCACGACGGAGACAGCGGCTACTCATGGGTTCAGCCTATCTTCCTTTGCCGGAAATATTGGAATGGCCTCCGGACTTGTTATCGGTTATTCTCTTGCCAATCATGTTGGCCACTACGCGACCATTCTCAAAACCAATTCTTTTTTTGAGCAACATCCGTTTTCCCTCCCGGGAATTGTTATTGGTATCATGAGTGCGGTTTGCGCCATCGTCGCTGCACTGTTCGTGGAGGATGCTAAACGAGACACTAATGAGGCCTCGGATGATACCCCATCTACGAGCTCCTTACTACCATCCTGGACGTTTCTTCGAGAGCTAATCCGATCTTCTGGTGCTATTCGCACAATTTCTTCGTTCATCAGTATAAGCCTGCTTGGATCTGCTTTCACGGCCGTGGCAACACTCGCACTTTACACAGACATCAGCCAAGGCGGCCTGGAATTCCCAAGTCACGAAATTACGCTGTACATGATCTACCAGGGCGCTTTCGCAGCGTGCTGGCTGTTTGTGATTTACCCAGCGTTATACCAACATTTTGGTACACAAAACATCATCTCAGCAAGCCAGGTTATTTTTCCTTTCTTATTTCTGAGTTTCGGCATCATGAATGCACTTGTTCTCTCTGGTAGCGAACCTGATTACTTCCTATTCCGGGTCGTTCTGGCCGTGATGACATTCATGGGGGCCGCTATCTACATGGCAGCTACAGCAGTCTATGTTGGCTTGCAAGGGGTATCACCCAGTCCTCGAGAGCTTAGCCTACTCAATGGAGTCGCAGAGGCGGCTTCTTGTCTTCTAAGACTGATAATCTTATCCATAGGCATTTCGATCTATGGCTTTTGCAATTACCATAGTGTGGCAGTTGGGTACCTCAACGTTGTTGTCTTGTTACTGGTTGTGTTATCATTCTTTCTTTTGATGTGTCCTACTTGGACGAGGCTCACAAGAAGCTAAAGGAAGCGCGAACATCGGGGCTCGTGGCTTCCAAACAAATATCGCAGTCAATAAACATTTCCTTTATTTCAATTTGCATTACATAATGTAGATAGTAGTGATTAGACGCATAGCGTAGACGTATTTGGTAACGTACGTAAGACTTCCTTCGACCCGCGCGAAGACCATGCCAAATGCCAAGATCAGTAGCACTCATTCCAACATGGCATTATCCTTCACCCTTCTAAACGTGACCACGCATTTTAACCCTCTCGGTACCGCGTCATGAGTGCTGCACTGCTTCATGAACTCCGCACTAGTCGCTGATGTTGCCATGCTCTCATACTCAAGATACAAACCTGCTATGAGTAGCTTGAGTTCCATAGTTGCCAGCGCCTTTCCCAAACAAACTCTTCCGCCATAGCCAAAAGGGATTAACTGTGCATCAAGAGCCTTTCGCTCCTCTTCACTACTGTCGATCCACCTGCGTGGGAGGAACCGATCAGGTTCGGAGTAGACCTCTCCATCATAGTGCAACGCCAGAACTGAAGATGTGACAACTGTATGCTCTGGTACAAACACTCCTGCCAGTGTGCGGCCTCCTAAAGGCACCACTCTTTCGTTCTTCCCGCTTGAGGATGGATGCATGCGATAGACCTCACGGAGACATGCTTCGAGTGACGGAACCCGAGTATCGATATCTGCGAATAACGGACATCCATCGTCTTGCTTCGGCAGGGCAGACAGCTCTAGTCGTATCTTACGCTGCCACTCTGGCGCCTCGGTCAATTTCCAAATGAGATATGTCGCCGTCACTGCGATAGTGGCTTCGGCGGCGTCAATGTTGTCGAGAATCTCCGCGGCCATGTAAGGCACATCGATAGATCCATCGTGTGCACCATCCTCTTTGAGTTCCCAAAGATGACGTACCAGAGAGCGCGATTCATTCAACTGCGCGTCCTTGAGAGCAGCGAAGAACTTCTTCTGGCACCAAGCCGAGAATTCATCATCTGCTGAGAGGTATCGCCAGCTCAATGTCTGCAATAGGTCAGAAGCATGGTTGTACATCCAAAGGCACCTGTAACGAAGCGGGCCTATGAACTGTTGATGTTTCAGCCCCTCAAGGATGCTACGTTCGGTACATGTCTGGTCCACCGAATAAGTTCCGTGATTGGGTCCGAAAACCAAGAACGTGATGTTGTCTAATGCGTACCGCGACGTAAGGCTAAAGACATCAACATCTCCGCCGTGACGGACTTGATCTAGCACTGCTAGCGAGCGAGAGTTGACATGCTCTTCAATCTCTGGAAGCTTGTATATAGTTTTTGCTTGATAGAATGATGAGGTGTACTTGCGCTTGATCCGATGGCCCTCATAGGGCTTGGTCGCAAATATGGAACGCCTGCCATATCCCATGAAGTGGTCAAAGTAGTCGCTCTTGGCCCAGCGCTCCTTTGTTCCGTAGATCTGTTTGGTGGCTTCCAAATCGGCTACCGAAACCTCATTTGGTGCAATCTGGACTACAGGTCCGTACTTCTTGTGCATGTCGAGAATCATATCATTGCGGCGACATAAGATCTCATATATACTCAGTGGAATGTTGGAGACCTTAAAATACCATGGGCCAGGGACATGACGAAGGCTGCTATTACCGAGAAGATACACGAGCCATGCGTATATCAGAACGATGAACACAACGGCAAGGGTAAAAAATAGGGCCTGGATAGTGAGGGTATAGAATAAAGTCTGTTCGGATGGGGAACGCATTGTATATCCTGTTTGCTGATGGCAATGAGTGAAAGGGAACTTAGGAAAGGCTAGGAATGGTCTGGAGCTGCAACACTTCCTTAAGCAGTCTCATTAGTATTACATGGTATTTCCCTTTTATTTATCCCAAATCTCAGAGATACATATCTCTCTCGGAATATTTGCGTGATGCATGGAACGGCCCGGATTGATGCACCAACACGTTTGCCAAACTTGAGCATGCATCTAACGTACTGACTCGAGTGTCTTCCCCTCAATCGTGGCACATTACACAAGCTTCCATGTTCACTCCTTAGTCACTTGTACGACCTTATAACGATAATTCAGAAAGATACTTCCCGCGATATTCGGGTTCCGTCCTGATGCATGCACGGAACGGCCTCGGCTGGCAGTAAGAAAATATCAGACCTTCATATAGGATATAAAAATGAACTTAACTAAAGCTATCGTAAACTTTTACCAAGTTACCGAAGCATTTTCAATATTTAGGTACAAGATCCTAGCTTTTCCTTCCTCCTCTAGGCCGCTTTAGGGATATCGAATTCGTCTAATTCTATCATGCCCACTAAGTCAGCAGTCCAATTCTTGAAAACCCATAACGAATGATAACAATTTAATGCAACATAAGAGACTCATCATTGCGTACGTATGAGTGCGCTCAGCTTCAGCTAAAAATGGTTTGCGACGAGAGCTGAAGGCTTAATGTAATGTTTACAATATCGTTTATTTTTGAGACAAGTCTTCTCAACGAAGTTTTGCACCACGCAAATATTCGTGTTCTCTGGTGATCGGAAGATCAGTACTCTTCAGATAGTACAAGTGTCACCATGGTCGAACTGAGGCTGGTGACTTCAAGGAGGTACAAATTTATAATAGTATTACCAATCCCCGGTCCCCCACGTTTTCGACTTGCTTTTTTCTGTGCCCTTGACGGTTTAGGTAAACTGGCGCCAATTCTTCCATATTGTATATTGATATTGAGTCATGGTTGTGATTATCATGCTACGGCTAAGTGTAATGTCGCCTCATTGAAGCATGCTGAGAATATTTCGGCTACGTCTGGCACGTTCCAACGAGATTCTATGGAGTATTTCCGATCAATTATTCTCTCAATGCTATTTACTTCTGCTTAATCTGCCCGGAGATACATCAATAGTCCCATATCATTGCTATTCTATGCACCATTGGTGCTTTGAACTCCTTTGCTACCGTTTCGAATCTCCAGAGTGTGTTCATCACTTGGCTTGCGGGCTCCCTTGAAAGTCACCTTCGTTTCTTCCCACTGCTCGAATCGTCTATACGCGATTGGTGCATCGTCCAAGCTGTACTCGTTTGAGAAAAGGAAACCTGGCCTTGCCCTTCCACTCTTCACAAGCTCCACTAGAGCCTTGATGTTCCCCTTGATGTCCACAAGCCCGCCTTGGATACGGATTCCCTTGATCCAGGCCTCGGCCATCGGAAACTTGATCTCAGCCTTCAGGTCAGGCTTGTGAACAATTCCCCTGCCACCAAACTCACTGACCAATGCAGTGATATGTACTCCGATGACGCCAATTCCGCCACCGGAGGTAGTGATCTTCACAGCTTCGCGAAGGATATAGTCCTGCTGCGGCTTGAGTTCATCATTGAGGCAGACTTCACCCACGGCGTCAATAGCCCGAGTGACTCCCTGAGGGCGTAAAGCAAGGATCTGATCAGATGCCTTGCCTCCACGGGTGAAGTTGATGGGCTGCGCACCAATGGAGGCAGCCTTGGCGAGGCGTGAGGCAACATGGTCAATTACGTAGACATGAGCGGCCCCGCGGATCATAGCGCTGTATGCAGCCATGAGTCCAATAGCACCAGCACCGAAAACAGCGACAGTATCGCCAGCTTGAAAGCCGGAGAAGTTAATAGCGGTCCATCCAGTAGGGAAGGCATCAGTAAGAGGCAGCCATTCCTTGTCATCAAACTTATCGGGAAGCTTCGCCAAAGATGAATCAGCCCATGGAATGCGAGCGTACTCAGCTATTCACAAGTGTTAGATACACGAATACAGAGATAAATAAGGAAGCGGTCTCACCCTGTAGTCCTGTATCGCCATGGAACATTCCACCAAGGCCAAGGCCAATGATAGGCTGATCCGTCACAAGTATCGAGGGCTTTGGCAGTAGGTTTCCATCCTCTGCAAAGGCCAAAATCAGAACTCGGTCGCCGGGCTTCAAGAAGTCCACAGCTGGGCCGACTTCCTCGACGATGCCGACGGCCTCATGACCAACGCCGAATTTCTCTTCGGTCCCGAAGAGACCGTGATAGATATGAAGATCAGATCCACAGATAGCGGAGGTGGTGATACGGACAACTGCATCTTCTGGTTCGATGAGCTTGGGGCGTGGGATGATGTTGACAGACATGTCACGAACATTGCCCTCCCACTGGACCGCACGCATGAAGCCCGTCTTTGAGGAAGTATCCATGTTAAAAAAGAGTAACTTAAGAAGCCGCTAGAATTAACTATGCAAGAAAGGTTTGCCTAAAGTATCCTCTCTTATAACTCGGCGAGTAGATGCAGCAATTTATACCAAACAATCCCAGTCAATTGCAGTTCCGGCCGGTTTCTCGAAGTAGAAAATGACGTGATCTAGGAGAATTTTATCAGTCACAAGATTTTAAGCTTAGCTGAGACATGTAAGAAATGCTACCCTTGGGGATACTTTGGGACGCTTTATAGTAAGCGGAAAGAACTTATGATGGGAACCGTCAGCGTCCAGCCTCACCGCGTAAGATTGGTCGGGATAATACGAGGCTATGTTCAGTGAGCGTGACCAATAGCGGATATTAATCTGACTGGAAAGTTCCTTCTTTGCTATCCAAAAGTGCTTGTAGGCCTGTGATTGGTGAGAGGGCCAAGAGGGAAAGGCCCATACTATCCGACGTGATACTCCAAGGCTTACACAGCACAGTAACAAATGACGCAACAGAATAATATTTCTACCTTGAGTGTTTTGTAATTCTTTTGAGATCTATCTTCGCCAGATCTTGATTGGCAGCTTGCCCATGATCAAGTTGAAGGCTTCGAACCTGTCTACCGTGAAGTCCTTGGTCGGCATTGCAAAGTCATATCGATGTACCAAAGTAGCCAATACAATCTGTTGTTCCAGGTACGATATGTTTCGTCCGATACACCCTCTTGCACCAGCTGAGAATGGGATGAAGAATGGTTCCATTCTCTTACGTTCCTCCAGGTTGAGCCACCGCTCTGGCTTGAAGACATATGGCTCGGGATAAATATCCTCGTTGTGGTGAGCACTCCAGATAGTCATTGACACAGATGTATCACCTGGGATCCAAGTATCCATAATCTTAGCTCCTTCGGGTGGTGTGCGTCGAGGAAGGCCTGAGCTGACAGGAGGAATGAGGCGGAGGCCTTCATCAAGGCAGGCTTTGAGATATGACAGGTCTTTGACTTTGTCAAATGGCGCGATAACGTCGTCTTCATCCATAACAGCAGCGACTTCATTCCTCAATCTTTGCATCTGCTTGGGATGGCTGATCAACAGTTGGAGAATATGTGTCAGGGCAATCGCTGTAGTCTCGGCTCCAGCATCAATGATAGCCGAGGTCTCGGCGACAATCTCTCCCCACTCGAGTTCATTAGGTACGCCATTTTTGTCAACCATGAGACACGAGAAGAAGTCATCGAGTTCCTCTCCTGCCTCATATCTCCTGAGTCTGTCTTTAGCTTGATGGTAGCAAATGTTTCCCCAAGGTGCACTGGTCGCCCAGTAGCCCTTCCACTTGTTGGGCACAACTTTCGAGATCCGTGCTAGCCAAGGGTATAGTTCATACTCCCAGACGAAGATTGACTTGCACATGGCTGCGGCGTTCTGTGCTTGGCGGTATCGTGCGGGATAGAGTGTTCCGTCGGGCTTTTCGGCAATGACTTCATCGGTACCGGTCTCTAGGAGTGTCATCTTTGAGGAGAGAGCGATGTAGTTGATTGCTTCGATAGTCCAAAGGTTAATCCAGTGGTTGAAGTCAACTGTGAGATCTTCAGGGTCTGTGTTGGTGTTCGGCTTGAGGCGTCCCGTGCATCGTTGATCGAAAGCATCAAGCAATCGCTGCGTGGTATACTGGACTTTGAACTCCCATTTTTCAAGGTTCCTTGTGGCAAAGGCAGCAGATAAAAGTCTTCTCTTTCTGCTATGGTCACCCTTGTCAACAACATCGAAGAGGTTGCGATGCGTCCCAGCCAGGACTGTCTCTTTGTGATCCTTGGTGCACTTTGTCTGATGACCGTAGATATCTCTCACAGCTTGAGGGTGGCTGAATGACAATGCATTGGGCCCGATCCTGAGAATGTGCTCGCCACGACGATCATGTTCAGAAGCAAGCGTCTCTGACCGAGCGCCAGTGTGACTGAGATAACAGTAGCGCAGATCCGTTAAAGGAGAAAGCCACGAGAAGTTTGCATATTTCCTCAGACCCTTCGGGTCAATGAAGTACAGGATGATAGGATAGATGACAAGACGAATGAATAGGCCAGCAAGACCAGCCCAAAGAAGAATAAAGCCAATCATGGTTACGAAAAGATCGTGATGAGGGCGAGTTGATTGATCTCGAATTCCATGAGGAGTCGGATCTTATATCTCGAGCCTTCGACACAGAGGGTCAAATAGTGCGGCGACAACACCGATGCATAACTCAGACGTGCGCCAATAAAACGACTCTATGCTCTCCATATTCAGCAGAATTTGATATCTATTGTTAGATAAATTGCTCGCGGGATTCACGTTTCGGCGAAACACTTCCTAATTAAGACGAGTCGCCAAGCAGCTGGAGGGGTAAATTTCCGTTTCTGGCAATGGTGTCGAATTGGTGGGAGCACGGAGTTGCGGGGAAGCAATCGTGGGCCGGGAATGGTAAATGATTCCGCGGGGATCCGTATGAGCTCAATGGTCAATGGACGAATGCCAACTTTCAATTAATCATGCTCATCATTCTATGCAGTCTGCAAAATT